CTTTTAGTGGGTCTGAGACCCTGTGCTATGATCTTCAACAATGTTTGTCAGCTTTTTTTACCCATAGTATGTGAGACAGGAAGACTAGAGGAGGCTGGAGTTGGCTAACTGCCCTTCCTCCAGGTTGCACAGGTCTCTGCAAGACTTCTCCCTTGGAGAGTAGGCCTTTGTTACTGAGAATGCTCTGGGCATACTGTAAAATTATTACTTCTCTTCTACCCCTGACAAAAACTATAGGGAACTTTTATCAAATTTTTGCAAAAGAAAATCTTATGGGGTTCCTAGAGATAATACCCATGGGAAGTGGAAAAGTCCCCCATGACTAGGCTTGCAGAAGTTTCTCATTCCCAAAACATTTTGTTTCTCGCAGTTCATTAAAATTACCATTTATGTAGGCTATCAGCTTATGGCTCTAGTGTCTTCTGCTTCAGATAAGCTGATCTTCACCGCATTTCCCTGTCTCTCCAGATTTCAAGTGCCAATTTGTCCTATAACCTCAATCTGATAGGTCTAAAAAAATTACGATTTTCAGTTTTGTTCAATTTTTTTCTTCTTGTGAAGATAGGAGTGACAAATTCCAAGTTCTATACGTCAGAGCTGAAACTGAAAGTCCATTATTTATTTTTACAATCATTCTACACTAAATATCTTCCTGCATAACATATGCCAATTAAAATTCTTAAACAGGTAATAAGAAGCAAATAAATGTTGGAAAAAAACACCCTAAAAATCTGTATGTAACAATTTTACTAAGGTTTAAGACACACACTTCACTGTGACATTGTCATGGGGTAAAAAAAGCACTAAAAATATGCTACAGTTCCTGGATGCTTACTTCAGCCTGGAGAAATCCTTGAGTTATTGCACAGAATTTTTAAGGCATAGGAAAATCTAATCTCTCAGTGCCAAGGTGTTAATACTTGTTTGACTTGAGGTTGAAAATATTTAAGCATAATTAAAACTATACATACCAAGTTTTCGCATTCCTTTTCAACATTGAAATTATAAGACACTGATTTTTACTTCTTATCCACAGTTTTCTGTATTGTCCAAGTTTTTAGATAATAAGTACATATAACTTTTTAATATATAAAAAAAGAAAGCTAATCAATTTCAAAAATAAATAAATAAATTGTACAATGTTACTCTCTGGAGCTAAAAGGTCAGCTTCTGAATACAAATTAAAAACTAGATAAAACTAGATAAACTGATACTGTTTACCTGACATGCAACATTTACCCAAATTAATAATACATTAATAAAGTAGTCTTCTTTAGAGGGTGTTCAGAAAGGTTCACATATGTAATCATATCATTGCTACTATATTCAAATTTTAAAATAGAAACAAAAAATCATATCTGATATGATGGTCAGAGGCCGAAGTCAGAGTATACAGTTAAGAAGAAACACAATCCAGCTGGGCTCAGTGGCTCAGCCTGTAATCCCGCGCCTTTGGGAGGCTGAGGTGAGTGGATTGCCTGAGCCCGCGGGTTCGAGACCCACCAGGGCAGCGAGACCTCATCTCTACAATAAATCAAAAAATTAGCTGGGCATGGTAGCACGCGCCTGTAATTCCGGCTACTCGGAAGGCTGAGGTGGAAGGATTGCCAGAGCCCAGCAGGTCGAGGCTGCGGTGGCCGGGAGCGGCCACTGCACTCCAGTCTGGGCGACAGAGTGAGACTCCAACTCAAAAAAAAAAAGAAGAAGAAACACAATCAAGCTGGGTGCACTGGCTCACACCTATAATCCCAGCACTTTGCGAGGTCGAGGTGAGTACACTGCCTGAGCCCAGATTTGAGACCAGCCTGGGCAACATGGAGAAACCTCATCTTTCCAATAAAATAAAAAAATTAACTGGGCATGGTGGTAAGCACCTATAGTTCCAGCTACTTGGAAGGCTGAGGTGGAAAGATTACCTGAGCCTAGCAGGTCGAGGCTGCAGTAGCTATGATCACGCCACTGCACTTCAGCCTGGGCGACAGAGTGAGACTCCAACTCAAAAATAAATAAATAAACAAGGAAACAAACAAGCATAATCAAAACTATCCTTGAATACACTTAAATCATTCATAGAGTACAGGCTTTTGTATATTCAAATTTGTATATCAATGTCTAAAAGAATCATGAATATATAATAACAAAGAGTCCAAATGTAAAATGTAACTTTATAATACAATATCTTTATAATATATAAACTCAGTAAGTATAAAAAGATGCTCATATCACTGAAGAGACATATAAGAGCCAGGAGCAACCTAGGCAATGAAGCTCCAACAACCTCTATCTTATCCAAAATTAACTAAGGAAAACCCCTTAGGACAAAACTCCCTTGATTGCAATGTCTATGAAAAGTTTAAGTTAAGTTTTCCTTTCTTCTTTTTTTTTTTAATGTGGAAGCAAAAAAAAAAAAAAAAAAAAAAGAAATCAAATTTATTGAGGCAGAGAGTAGAACAGTAGTTTCCAGGGGAAGACGTTGGTCGAAAAGCTCAAAGTTTCAGTTTTAAGATGAACATATTCTGGCGACTGAATGTACAGCATGGGCAGTGATGGATCTGTTAATTAACTTGATTGTGGTACTCATTAGACAATGTATATGTATATCAAGTCATCATATTGCAACGCCTTGAATATGCTCAATCTTTAATCAATCATTTAAATATTTTAAAATAAAAAAATTAAAAATACAAATGGAATGTTAGTATAAAAAAGATAAATTTCTGAATTTTTTTTTCTGGTTAAAAAATAAATACCTCTCACAGAAAATTAGAAATATGTTTTTAAAAGTATGTACCATTGTTCAACTCATTGGTGACCACTGCTAATATTACTCTACAATTCTTTTTCCCAGGCAAATATTTATATATTTGAGATCTTTTTTTTTTTTTGGAGTTGGAGTTTCACTCTGTCACCCAGACTGGAGTGCAGTGGCCGCTCCCGGCCACCGCAGCCTTGACCTGTTGGGCTCCGGCGATCCTTCTGCCTCAGCCTTCCGAGTAGCCGGAACTACAGGCGTGCGCTACCACACCCGGCTGATTTTTTGATTTATTGTAGAGATGAGGTCTCGCTGCCCAGGCGGGTCTCGAACCCGCGGGCTCAGGCAATCCACTCACCTCAGCCTCCCAAAGGCGCGGGATTACAGGCTGAGCCACCAAGCCCGGCTGAGATTTTTTTTTAATAAACATATTTTTTATTTTAAAATTGTAGGGTACAGTTAAGGGTTAGGTATGCAAATATGCATTGTGCAGGCACCCTTGTTGATAAGGGGTGTCTCCCCTTCCCCAGACAGATATTGACTACTGTTAGTCCCACCTCCCTTCCCCTCCCTACCCGCCCCATAGTTTCCTGCCACTATCAATCCTTTCCTTATAGTATTATGATAGATGTTCAAGGTCCACTATATAGTGAGAACATGTGATACTCAGACCTTTGTTTCTGTGAGAGGTCACTCAGTATTATAGACTCTAGTTCCATCCAGGTTGCTGCGAAATTTGTGATTTTGTTCTTTTTTATTGCTGCATAGTATTCCATTGTGTATATGTACCACATTTTTTTTTTTTTTTTTTGAGTTGGAGTCTCACTCTGTCGCCCAGACTGGAATAGTGGCTGTTCCCGGCCACCGCAGTCTCGACTTGCTGGGCTCTGGCAATCCTTCCGCCTCAGCCTTCCAAGTAGCTGGCACTACAGGTGTGCACTACCATGCCTGGCTGATTTTTGATTTATTGTAGAGATGAGGTCTCGCCAAGTTGCCCAGGCAGGTCTCGAACCCGCGGGCTCAGGCAATCCACTCACCTCAGCCTCTCAAAGGCATGGGATTACAGGCTGAGCCACCGAGCCTGGCTTTGTACCACATTTTTTAATCCACTCCTCTTTTGATGGACAGCATGGTTGGTTCCAGGTTTTTTGTTTGTTTTTTGCAAGTGTGAACATGCTAGAATTCTCACAAGTTAAAAGCAGGTAGTTTGCATTCTGTGACATTATTTCTTCCATTTAAAAGCCTTCTAGCAGTCTTCTACATGGACTCCTGGCTCTCTCCCAGCTTTCAAGGTTCTTCTCAAACTTGCCCTGCATAACAATAACATCCCTACTAAATCTTGCTCCCTTCTGTGTTAACCTTCTGTCTCTGCACTCACTTTCACCTCCCAAATCCAAATCCTATTCAACTATCAAAACCCACTGTTATGGTCTGAATGCTTATATTTCCCCAAAATTCATATGTGAAACCTTACCCTCAAATGTGATGGCAATAAGAGGTGGGGTCTTTGGGAGGTTAAGTAGGAACAGAAGGGGTCAAGAGGATGGAGCTATGAATGGGACAATTTCCTTATAAGAGTCCCATGAGAGCTTGCTTCCTCTCTCCACCATAAGAAGAGTGCCATCTATAAATCAGAAAGTAAGGTTTAAGACACCAAATTTGCCAGTACCTTGATCTTGGACTTCTCAGTTTTGAGAAACTATGAGAAATATATTTCTATTGTTTATAAGCTACTCAATCTATGGTATTCTGCTCTAGCAGCCTAAAGTGACTAAAATACACACCTACTCCACAAAGTCTTTCCTAACTCACACTGTTTCTTTTGTTTGTTTACTCCTTAGGTATTTCTACATGAACAGCAGGCAAGAGTCTGTCACTTGCTCATTCTCTGAAAATGAGAGGAAAAGCTTCTATAAAGTAAAGAAAATGGCTTATAATACTTTTTCTCCACCATTCCTCCTAGCACAACCCTGGAAAAATAGTATATGACCAATAAACATACAGCTTATTACTAACTGGTAAATAAAGAAAGCAAGTCATAAGTGGTTTAATCTACCCATATTCTTATGGAAAATTACCTGCAGAAGAGTTTAAGCATCTCTAAAAGTCCTAAAATTACTAAAATGTGGCACCATGAGCCTAATGCCACAAGCAGAAATTTCTATTGGTGTAACTCTTAACTTTAGCAGGCTTTCTAAAAACATGAACATCCACTCATAAAGGAAAATAGGTGTTAATAAGGACATACCCTCCGATGTAAGAATCTTCTTGTCTCTGGGGGCCAAGGCATGCCCTGCATGACTGATAATCCAAACTGGAAAGCGTCTGCTTGTCAAAGAGAATAAAGCCTTTGCAAATGGCACATAAAAGGTAGAAAAACCTGGGTTACCTGAGAAAAGAAGCACAGATCTAAGATTAATCAAAGCAATAAACCCACATAAGATGATGTACACACTAGAAAAGAAGAATCTATTTCTCCTCATACATTCTTCTGTATTCTTCAGAGAACCCAGAGAGAGACAGACAGACAGAGAGAGAGAGAGAGCGAAATCTGCACACTTCTATTAAAATCATATCAGTACCTTACTTATATGCGCATCAGTGGCTTTCTCTGGCCATCCAGATAAACTCTAATATCATTAATACTGTCTATGAGGCACTTCAAAATTTGATCATGCTTGCTGTAGCTGGAAACTGCTGGGGGTAGGGGGAGGCATATAACATTAATGTAGGCCCAAACTTTACCTGTACGAACACCACTTGCACACCTAACCCTGAATTGTACCCCATATCTTTAAAATAAAATAAAAAATAAACCAAAAAAAAAGATCATGCTCGCCTATCAAGCTGCATGAAAACTAGAAAAATGGGCCAGCCAAAACAGTATAAGAATCATGCACAAACTGTAGGGAGTCTATATGGGTTTCTTCGTCATTTATCATAAGTACTTATATTGTAAACAGATGTACAGTTTGATCTTTTGGAAAAAAGGCTACCAACAAATGCATGTAGATTTTTCCTGTGTGTGTACAGAAGATATTTTTGACATGGGTTTGCTATAGAGAAATAAAATAAATAAATAATATTTTAAAAAATTCAATTGGATACATCTGTAGGGGAAAATACAGTAAAATGGGGTTTTCATCTTGCAATCATCATCTGTAGAAAGTCTTCACATGTCTTACTGGTCCATTTCCATCAATATCTATTTCTCCAATCAATTAATCTATTTCTTCATGCTGTTAGGTTTTCTTCTCTTTGCAATTACATGACATGATTCTGATGCTCTGATGTAAATAATCATTGCCATCATTGTCAAATTTCACTGACTTTTCTCCACTGTTTATATCTTTCAGTTTCCTAGACAAGCAGTACAGTAAAATGGTTAAACGTATAGACTCTGGAGCCAGACTGCCTGGGCTGGCATCCTGGCTTTGCCATTTAACAACTGCAACTTGCTAAAGCAAGTCATTTAACCTCTCTGTGCCTTGGTTTCCTCATCTATAAAATGGGAATAACAATTGTGCTGCCTCATATGAAGACTAAGTGAATTAATCTATGTAAACTACTTCAATTCTGCCGGAAACATAGTAAGTACTATATAAATACTAGCTATTCAAAGTTGTTCAATGATGTCTAGCCATAATGGTGAAATATAATGACCTTATCATCTACATTGTTATTTTGCTTCTGTAGCATTTTGACCTAGTGACCCAAGACCCAAATTCCTTTTTGTGATGGGGCCATCATCATCTTTGTTAAATAGGATAAAAATGTCCTCAATTGCAGTAATATACTCTTTGTTAGTTTATTGGTCACTGTACAACTAAGGGAGAAAGAAGGGAAGAAGGACATACCAGTATAGGGGCTGTAACATCTATGGTAGCTGTGGATGGCATGTTTCATGTTTTATAAATTTAAGTCCACAGTAAGTCTGGAATTTTTTTAGTATAAAGTACAAAAGAGTAATCCAACTTCTTTCCAAATGACTAGCCAAGTGTCCCAAGACCATTTATTATATAATCCATTCTTTCTAAATTGATTTGAAATGTCTTCTGATCCAATACTAAATTTTTACATTAGCTTGCTAATTCCAATTCCAAATAATTCAGTTTATTTTTCCTTTTGTCCTCTGCCAGTACCATACTGCCTTAATTACTATATTTTAAAAAAATGTTTCAGTAACTGTTAGCGCAAATCCCTTCTCTTTATTTTCCGTTTTCTAGGCTGGTTTTATAAACTTTGGGATTATTTTCACTAGTTTCAATTTTTAAAACTCTTTGGGATTATGACTGAAATTTCATCTCATTAATACATTACTTTATAAAGATTTTATAGTTTTTATATTACTGAGTGTAACCTAGGAATGCATTATGCCTCATGTTTTACGATGCTCAGTTAAATTCTATAGATTTCTTCATATAGCTAGAAAATAATAATAGCTAATACTTTTAGGCACTATAAGCTATTACATATCAAAAAGTGTTTTGGCACTTTACATATATGAAATCATTTAATCCTCTCGAGGTAGTACTATTATTTCCATTTTATGAATGAGGAAACCGAAATACAGGGGTTAAATGACTTGACCAAAGTCACATATATGGTAAAAGCTCAAAACATAACTGATGACTGAAAAAATAAGCAAAACAAAATAATAATGAATTTTTAAAAAATCACTGATTTGTTGTAGGATCTTCTGCATGTCTTGTTTTAGTTAATCTTACAATAGCCCTATAAAGTAACTAGCATTATCACTAAGAATAATTAATGGACAGTCACTTGTATAACACCTGGCACATGGCAGATGCTAATAAATGGTAACTATTATTACCATAACTATTATTATAATTAAAAACTGCTGTAACATTAAGGAGACATGAAAGACAATGACAGGATATCTAAAAACCAATGAGTACTAGATAACAAAACTGCTATAAAACAAAGTTTTCTCCCTACCTCTAGGCTTATCTGAGTTCTTTCTCTTAAGCTTTCTGATCCACTATTTTATTTTCATTAAGAAAATAATGCCAACTACTTCATGTTCATTCATTCTATTCAGCTTCTTTTGCATATTCTTTATTGAGCACTTACTGTATGAAAGTCACTGTGTTAGACAAAAGACAGAGAAGGGCCTTTTTGAAATTTATATATTAGTGGGAAAAATACATACATAACTAAATAAATGAGATAATTAGAGTGTAATAATGAAGGAAATAAATAGGATCACATGATAGAGAAGGGAAGAGATTAGGGTGACTTGGAAAAAACAAGTCTGAGGAGTTGGCATTAACTGAGACCCAAAAGAAAAGAAGAAATCAACCTTGTGAAAATTTGAAGGAAGAGAATTAATATCAGGAGAGAAGAACAAGTGCAAAGGTCCTCAAGAAATAAAGAGCATGGTTCTTGAAGAAAGAGAATCCATAATCCTTGGTTCCTCTCTTTACATCTAATATCAGTGTGGCTAAAGCATAGTGAGAGAGAGAGAGAGAATCTTGTATTAGATGAGGTTGGAGAAGAGGGGAATACAATAATGCAGTACTTTGTGGGCTATGATAGGAAATTTGATTTTTAATCTAAGTAATATTAAAGAAATTAAGCAAAATTAAGACATGATCAGATTTTAATTTTGAAAATATTTTTCTCCCAATAAGGAGGATGGTAGGGAGAGGGGTACAATGTTCACATCTGGGAATGGACCACCTGAGACTCAATACCTACCACAACACAATATGTCCATGTAAGAAACATGCACGTATACCCCCTGAATCCTTCCTCCCCTCCAAAAACCTCATATAGTTGAAACTGAGGCTAAGGGGCAAGTGAGATCACACAGAAGTAGAGACATTCAAAAGAGTGAGTACTACTCCAGTTCTATTATTCTCTTTTACAACTGTAATAAACAACATCTATTCTCTTGGAGGCCTAGGGAATGCAATGCAAAATGCAGGCCCAGGCGTTGGTATTCATAATTAATGTGTATTAGTTCTCTCTCCTCCTTGGGTCTCCACTAACAACTCCACCATGCCTGTTCCAACTTCATATTATCCTCCTACTAATTCTACTACTTCTTGTGTATCTGTAACATAACTAGAGAAATAATCAACATAGATAATTTCATTATTCTTAACTTATTTCTCATTAGGTAAGTCTTTCTTTTGAGTCGAAGTCTCACTCTGTTACCCAGGTTGAAGTGCAGCAACATGCTCACGGCCACCGCAGTCTCAACCTGCTGGGTGATCCTTCCGCCTCCGCCTTCCCAATAGCTGGAACTACAGGGGTACACTACCACACCTAGCTACTTTTTTTTATTGTAGAGATGAGGTCAAAAGTTGCCCAGGTTGGTCTCAAAGCCCTGGCCTTAGGCAGTCCTCTCGCCTCTGCTTCTTAAAGTGCTGGGATTACAGGCATGAGCCACCGTACCCAGCAGGCAAGTCTTCTTAACCATACTTAAAAGTTTAACGTCTTTAAAGGTAGCCATTGCTTGTTATAGTTCTCTGTACCCAGTGGCACCTTGTAGCACTGGGTTGGGCACATGGCACTCACATACAATAAAACTTTTCAACTAAATGCATGGCCAGTAACATTAAGATTTAACTTATAACAGAGACAGAAGTAGAAAATGCAATTCAAAATGCTTAAATATCATTGCATACAATTCTTTATACTTGCTACTTAAATGTCATGGCTTATACTACACTTTATAAACCATGAACTAAACTTCTTTGTTAAGAAACTACAAAGAAAATTAAAAGGGTCATGTTTATGCAACTAAACAAAATACACACCCACACAGAAAGAAGTGGGGGGTGGGGGGAGAGGGAGAGAAAGAGAAAGACTGATCTCCAGGTATAGGGATGTTGAAAAACAATCCAATACAGACATGAAAAGAAAATGTTTTATGAAAGTTTTATATCAAAATGTGTTATAGGGTGAGCTCGGTGGCTCTGCCTGTAATCCCAGTGCTTTGGGAGGCTGAGGTGAGTGGATTGCCTGAGCCCGTGTGTTCGAGACCCGCCTAGGCAACTTGCCGAGACCTCATCTCTACAATAAATCAAAAACTAGCCGGGCGTGGTAGCAC